TTTCTGGAAGGGTAATTTTTACCAAAAATTTCTCCGTGCAGGTAAAAAAATCAAGAATATGATACATTTTTTGTAAGCAAGTGGCATTACTTATTTATGAAAAGAATATTTTGGAAAAAATATTAATATTTTCCAAAATTAAAATTGGATGATACTCATAAAGCAAGATTTTTTCAAAATCTTCTCACTCAATTTAGTTGCGAAATTCAAAAACTGAACATATTTAAATCTAAAGCGCAGTCCATTGACAGGGCACCTTAATTCATAAAGTTCGAAATATTGCCACTAGACAGGGCACGAAACTGCGTTACATTTTATCATGATTGTCACACTGTAATAACGTCAGAGTGGGAATCCCGGGATTCTATCGCTCCCTCCTTTCTCGTCGATGGAAATGAACTCGCGTAGCAACTCGTACTGCGGCTATCATTCGCCACTCGGCAAGCGTATACTTCAGTCCGTGCATTCAACGATAGTGGCCAAGGCCGTGCATAACGGCGCAGTTGTCCAGTTTCAATATTCGTACCGAGAATCAAACACTAATTTTAAGAAAATCATGCCGTTTTACGCTGTAGCAGAAGGACACGCTCCAGGAATTTATCGTCATTGGTAAGTTGAGTTGAAAATAAGTCGGAGTGACATATGGGAGGGATTAGTGGTGCAAGTGGATTCACTCTTTTTTTTAATTTGATTACACAAAATGATTTTAATGGTATTGAAGAGAAAATTCTCACATTTGTTAGAGAATAGTGGAGTGGGAAAACGGAATTTTAGTGCGATTTTAGTTCTTGCGAAATATCTTAAAGCCCAACTAAGATGGAAATATTCGGATGAGAGAGAGATCATCTTGGAATTAAATAAATGGGAAGTAGAGAAATTTCCATGAACACTATTTTGTAGCCTATATAGAGGTTTTTATGAAAAAAAAATCCGAGCTCCTTTGGATACTAATAGTTTCGGAGATATCCTTGAAAAACTCACCGCCGCGCTAAACGACTACGGGTGGGGGGAGGGGGGGAGTTTGTCAATTTGTAAATTATTTTTTTCTCTGCGCCTCTCTCTCTAAAAAACCGCCTTGTATTTGCTATTAACAATCTAATTTTTTAAGTGATCATATCTCAGAAGGAGTTATCGAACGGGAAAAAAGTCTTAAACAAAAGATGTTTAACATGTCAAGACACACATTTTTTGTTCTATAACTTTTTTCCCTAACTCTGATAGAGAAAGAGTTATCGGGGGTGAAAGCGAAGCGGGTGGCGCGTTAACACTTGCGCAAGGCGTCGGTGTGCTCCGATGCGTTTATCGACAAAATCAATGGAGATAGAAAACAATAATTCAAATGAAAAATGTTCGCCATAAAATTTTACGCATCTTTAGTTGTTTGAGATTTTTTCATACCCCTACCCATTAATAAGATATTAACACTTTTATGCTCTATGATGGAGCAAATTGCCTACAATGTTATTGTTTATGACAGCTTCATGCATAAGCGGTTCGAGACACGAGAAGAAAATTGGCATGAAAATTGTTCTCCCTCAAAAAATAGATAAATTAGTTTTGTGTCTTTTTGGCATATCTCCAATTCTGACAGAGATATAATCCGTTAAATGAAAGCGTGAGGGGGGGGGGGGGGG